CATACCACCACCCACCTCTAAAGAGGGCCTGAAATTAGTTAACAAACGGTTGCAAAATACTTTGCAAACATGAAATGCAAAATAAGACTACCGTGCCCATAAATTCTTCTGCATAGCACAAAAATTGGATTACGCTTACATGGAAAGAAAGAAAGAAACAGCGTAAAAAGGCAAATGTCCTGGAAGTAAACTGCTGGGCTGACGGTGAGGAGAAGGGTTCTATAATTAAGTTCCTCTGGATATTAAAATTCACCACCTCTTTGGTAGACCTCACCATTGCCTCATGGGGCATGGATCACTGTATGGAGTGAGCTGGCTCTTCTACATAAACATTTTTTTTTTTTTTTTAAAGATTTTATTTATTCAGTTTTTTCCCCCCAAAGCCCCAGTAGATAGTTGTACGTCATAGGTTCACATCCTTCTAGTTGCTGTACGTGGGACTCGGCCTCGCGTTGGACGGAGAAGTGGTGCCTCGGGGCGCTCCCGGGATCCAAACCCGGGCCGCCAGCATCAGAGCGCGCGCACTTAACCGCTAAGCCACAGGGCCGGCCCCTACATAAACATTTAAACAAAAACTTGCAGCCCATGGCACAAAAACAACCTCTTGTTTAAAATTATTTTACTAGAGGTGCAGATAAACCAGAGCCTTACAAAGTCCTAAACCCAACTCAAGTCAGCTCAGTTCCTGATTGCTGGAAATAATTTGTCACCCAGGCTAACTGCCTGCTAGAGGTTAGGGTGCATCTAGTGGGCATGGAAAAACAATAAGCAATCAGAGAACCCTTTTCTATCCTCAGCTAGCGGAGCCAGTAGGCCTATGAAGTCTGCCTGGTGGGAGACCCTGAAGCATCATCAGGGAGCCCTCTTCGGGGCTGTGTAGGCCCTTTTCACACCATTTTCATGCCCATAAACATGACAAAATCCATCAGAACATATTCAACTTATCAAGCTGCATGTTGCACTATAACAGAATAAACCTAAACTCACATTTAACCTACTTATACCTGACTGTCCCTGTACGGGTCTAGGAAAGCCTTAGATGTGAATCCTCAACAAGAAAATGTTAAGATGTTATGATTTCAGGATAAGCCACAAACTTAAGCTCTAATAATGTATAAGTCTCAGTAAAGAGAACACTCTGGTCAACAGCCAAAACTGAGAAAAATAATGAAGCAACTTCAGTTTTAACTCCTATTCCCAATACTAATGAAAAATTTATTCATTCGTTTAGAAATAAAATTTCCTAAGCATCTGTGAGACACAAAATGGAAATACCACTATGATCTACACAAGCAAGGTCCTGTCCTCACAGAGTTTACAGAGCAGCCGCAGGGGAAACAAGGAAACGGGACAAGTCTGAAAAGAGCCGTGATTAGGCAAGAACAAAGAGCCGTTTACTGGAGCTAGATGTCAGGAGAGAATTTTCACATCACGTGATGCCTCAGCTGAGACCCAAACAGTGAATATATGTAAGAAGGAGAGAGAGGAGCGGATGAATATTCCATGCATGGGAAAATCACGGGCAGAGGCCTGGAGGCAAGGGAAAGCTCATCCATTTGGAAGAACAGAAAGAAGTTCCTCATAAAGCAGAGAGTTGGTGGGGAGTTGGCTAGAGATAACTCTGGAGAAGTAAGCAGGGAACAGTGGACCCACTCTCCTGAAGAGTGGGTTATCTAAGTGATTCCAAGGGAAACGGGTAAGGAAGAAATCATACATATATTGTATTTTATAAAAATTCTTCTGATGGCACTGTGGAGGGAGAATTGGAGAAGATTAAGAAAAAACTCTAGGCAAGAGAAGATGGTGAACTGAGTAACAGCAATGGAGATGGAGAGAAGTGAACAGATGTAAGAGCTATTTAGAAGTTAGGAGAGACCAGACTCAATTGGGCAGACTAGCATAGTAAGTGTTCAGACTGCTTGCACTCAAATCCTGGCTCTGGCACCTATGGGGAAAGTTACTAATCTTTCTGCACCTTAGTTTCGCTTTCTGTAGAGTAGGAACAATAATAGTACCTGCTCATGGGATTATGATGAAAGAAAACAAGTAAATTCACAAAGTATAGAACAGTTCCTGGCATATGATAAGTGGTCAAAAAATATTGGTTATTAATATTGGTGCAATAACTCAAAACTAGAAACAATACAATTGTTCATTAACTGTGGAATGGGATGTGGAAGAAAGGAGGAAGAAAGGATCTCAAGGATCTCACAAAGGATTTTGGCTTGGATACATGGGTGGATGATAGTAACTGTGCCACTTACCTATTTATTGCCTCTCAGCCCCAAATCCACCCTTCATTGCATGCTCTGAGATAATGGAGATGGACCCAGCAAGCATTTCTCCTTTGCAGCTGGCACAGTTTTAAGCTTTGTCAGTAGAAGGCACTGGAGGGATCCTACAGGAGGAAGGGACTTCTCTTCCTGGTTCAAGTGTGCTTCCATTTACTTCTTTGTGCTTCTATGCATGGCTGCCAGCAGTACACGTGGAGGTCTTCCCAGTAGTGCTCACCCCCATCAAATTTCAGTGGCAGATTCCCAGTGAGTCTCAGAGATACCCTAGAAGTTGCCTTCCAAGCATTGGCCCATCTGCACCACAAAAGGGTGTCTTCCCCTCGTGATTATGGACAGGCTCTGGCTGGGGTAACTCAGCAAGCTCTCTGCCATCCATACCTTCTCCAATACACCCTGAATTCCAGTCAGTTTGTCCTTTCCTTGGATACTCTCCCTTGGCTCTAGTGTATTCTTTACGCTTTTATAGTTAATCTCCTGTTATAATTAATAATTCTTTATATTAATCATTTCTTATTCAAATTACTGTGTTTTCTGTCTTCTGTTTGGACCCTGTCCTATTCATTGAAGTGGGAAACAGAGGAAGAGAGACAGGTATTGAATAGATAAATTCCATTTTGGACATACTGAACTTGAGATGCTTGTGGGACATCCCAACAGTACTGTCTGGTAGGAAGCTGAGTATCTGGGAGGTCGAAAGCTCAAGAGAAATGTCCAGGCTGGAGAGATAAGCTTAGAAGGGAGTAGCCTTAAGATCTCTAAAATCTTAGTAAACGAAGCGCGTGTGAATGCCCACAAGTTAGGGAGATAGATTTTGTGTGTGTGCGCTCATATGTCTCATCAAGAATCCCTAAGAGGGGATCTTAGGGATTAATGACAATTTTAGTACAGAGTGTAAGGTTCATTAACAATTTTCAATTGACTCAGAAGTGCACAGTTGTAATAAATAGTTGCAGAAATAAGATCTGGATACATTTCAGCTGGACATTTGAATTGTCTTCAACTACCAACAAAAAAAAACGTGCAGCACATTTCATCAAAGGATTTATGGTGATTTCATACTGCGTATGTTAGGTAATGTTGTTTTATATCTGGTAACATTTTCAAAGCTAACTGAAGATATGGTTGAAAAGAGCCAAGCCCTATATTAATAAGATTAGAACACCAAGTACACTCCAAACTGGGAAGTTTAAACTTGGAGGCAAGGGAGTAATTAGTCATATCTGCTACTCTGGTTGCTGACTACAATCCGAAAAACTCTAATCAATGTGCCAAAACCCCAAGTAGCAGCACTGAAAACTGGTGAACTCCTGAAGTTTGAAACAACTAGATACAAGCATATTTCAAAACAGACCCAGGCTGATCCCTTCCACTTTTTCCAGGGTGTGAACTTGGCCAACATAACTTACTCCTTGCTTCACTCGTTCAAAAGTTTGGATCTACTAACCACAAAAAAAGGAAGTTCCCTCAGCAGTTTGCAAAGGAACAATTTGGAAGAGAAATGTATTAAATCCTCAGGGAAATTAAACCCAAATAATCCAATAACAGCATTACAAAATTACCACTGGACTATAAATTGAATTAATTACCTTCTACTTTGGGGATTCTTGGCTACCACAGGCCAAAACAAATGAGACCAATGATGTCAACTGCCTCAAGGGAGGCCACGGGCAAGTGTGCTCCTGGGGTACCCAAAAACAATTGTTTTTCAACCTTCAGATTTCTTCTGGAGATCTTTAACATGGAGAAAAGTCTTCACTTCTGCCCATCTCATACCTCAAATTACGGCAGGTTGGTGAGAGAGGCTACGGGTAGTATAATTCTTGACACAAAAGTGCCATTTTATGACTTGCTCTATTGTGAATTCACCTCTAAGTGTCTGTGTCTAGAAGCAGCTAGTGTTGGAAATCAATCAACATAAAGTCCTGTTCTCCTGAGAGAGTTGAATGGACAGGTGGGAACAAGTAATTATTTCTCTAGAACCTAGGCAGTCTAGCGATAAGGCACTTTAAGAACACCAGTCAGCTGCTCCAAAAAACTCGCTTTGGCATTTCAGTAAATAAGCATTTATTTTTGTAAATTCTTTTCTTATGCCATGATGTCAGTATGCCTGTAGCAATTCATGATTACCTAAATAATATGGGCCAGGGGAGCAACAAAATTAGCATGTGTGTGATTTACCAATCCTCTGCTAGGGTTCTTAAGGGCTTTCAGGAGGAAGGTAGGATGCCGCATCGTCACAGAAATAAAATCCCGGTGATTTATACAGTTTTGCCAGATAAGGCCCACAGGGCAAATACAAAAGGCCTTGAACTGCCTCCAGCTTCTCCTGAGACAGCCAGTTTGTCAAAACACCTATCACACGGTCTTATGCACACCCTTCACATTACAGCTGACATTTACTCCTGAAGCTTTTTAATAACCAAACAACATTTTACAAAAAGTTAATTAATGGCATTTTATTTGGGTATTGTATGATTTAGAATTCTTTTCACACTTAATTTTGTTTGACATTTTGAAAATACTATGCTCAACTCTTTTGTGTGGATAAAAAAAATTTTTTTTAACATAGCTAGCAGTATTGAATACTTTTTTTTCCTTCTTCCAAGAATTGACGCAAACACCAGAAACAAAAGACTTTCTGTTTGAGCTCAGAGAAATGAAGCATTCTGTTTGTTTGGAATCTTAATTATGATGGCATCAAACTTACCTAATTAGAAGCTCCTTCATAATGAGGAAAATTATTTTCAAAGTTAATGAATTTGCAAGCAGAAACCTTGCTGTCATCCTAGAATGAATTACTCACATTCCTTACATACATATTTTAGTTAATCACTCTAATTAATATTAGTACTTAAACCATGTGGGATTGATTTCACTGTTAAAGCAAACTTTCCTTTGTTTTTAGACAGTATAAAAAGACCACGATTTCCCTTGTTGTAGACATCAGGCTGCACATACAAGCTTAATTCTAGATTTTGGGCAAAATGGAAGTTATTTCATCAAAACGACTCATTTTATTGATTTTAGCCACTTCAAGCTTGTTAACATCAAACATCTTTTGTGCAGATGAGTTAACAATGTCCAATGTTCACGGCAAAGAAAATTATGACAAATATTCTAAGGTAAGTTTTTAAATTCTATCTAATATGACTAGCATTAACTATGTAATATGTGTCCTGAATCTAACGCTTTTGTAAAGAGTGAGGAACAAGTTAGTTTGTGCTTATTTTTTGTCAAACTTCAGCCTTCCCATGACAGTGTCTTGACGTAAATTGTATTGTATAGCACAACAGCAAGCACCCTGGCCTCTAATGACAATTTTAGTGCAGAGCGTAAGGTGCATTAATAATTTTCAATTGACTCAGAAGTACACAGTTGTAATAAATAGTTGCAGAAATAAGATCTGGATACATTTCAGCTGGACATTTGAATTGTCTTCAACTACAAACAAAACAAATACGGCACATATATTTTCTATTTAGCAATTACAAACTGGTAAGTTTGTGGTAAATCTATATCTAAGTAAAATGTTTATCCCTAGTTGGTGAAATTGCAAGTTATTTTTATTTTCTTCTTTATATATTTATATATTTTCCAAATTTGCTGAAATGAGGATGTATTACTTTTTACAATCAGAAAACAATCATTTAAAAATCTTCATATGAACAAACTTTCATGATAAAACTAAATCTAATTAAATATTTGCTATATTTTTTTTTTATAATTTTTATTTATTTTTTCCCCCCAAGCCCAGTAGATAGTTATATGTCATAGCTGCACATCCTTCTAGTTGCTGTATGTGGGACATGGCCTCAGCATGGCCGGAGAAGCGGTGCATCGGTGCGCGCCCGGGATCCGAACCTGGGTGGCCAGCACCGGAGCACACGCACTTAATCTCTAAGCCACGGGCCCGGCCCTATTTGCTATATTTTAAATGGTTCCTTTCAAGTTGGTATATTAGTGGTGCAGTAACCCATAAATTATTTGGTGCTTTACTAAAAATGTAATTTATATACTAATAAAAATACAATCAGTTTCTTGAGAAATGCTTTTAGAGTGAAACTCTGAATATGAGTGGGTAAGGAAGAAATTCAATGGAGCCTCCTCCAACTCTACCCCAAAACCTGGCTAGCATCTCTGTTTCCATGAATCCAGCACTTTGGCCTTTAAAGAGGGGGAAAAACATGAGACATGAAGAGGCAACGAGAGATTTCTCTAAAATTAAAATATAAAAATATATAGAATATTTCATAAACAACATGAATCAAAAACTGCAATAAACTAACTGCAGTAAAATGACTTTTGGCCCCATTTTGGTACTTCATTGTGTATTGCTCCCGCTGCTCAAACACATTGCTGTATTCACTATATATATTTTATTAATATTTTATAGTCGTCTTACAATAGTCCAGGGACAGAGAAACTAGATTGCTTTAAGAAGCTTAATACAAATGATTTATTAAAAAATTCTGCACGTGAAAACTCAAACTTTGTTTATAGCTTTAACAATTCTACAGATTAGCGTCTGGATTTAAGTTAATTTGGGGTTCAAATCTATTGCTTGTAACAATAATAAATTATTTTAATGGTCATTTCTGATTATAGCCTAGAGGAGACCCTAAAGGGGAAAAGGAAAGAAGTCTCAATTTTGAAGAATTAAAAGACTGGGGTCCAAAAAACGCCATTAAGATTACACCGTCAGTCAACAAAATGCCACACTCGGCAGCCAACTTGCCATTGAGATTTGGGAGGACCACAGAAGAGGAGAGAAGCACTGGAGCAATGGCCAACCTGCCTCTGAGATTTGGAAGAAATACAGAGGAAAGCATCTCAAGACGTGTTCCTAATCTGCCCCAAAGGTTTGGGAGAACAACAGCAGCCAAAAGTGTCACCAAGACACTGAGTGATTTCCTCGAACAATCCATTCATTCACCATCTGCCAATGAATTACCTTACTCTATGTCCTGCCAGCCCCAAGAAATCCAGATTCCTGATCGAAAACACCCAAGGTAAATATCTGAAAACCAGTTAAAATGCATGGGCAGTTATATAGAGCTGGTCCAGAAACTTGGAAAGGAATTACATCTTTTCAAAAGAAATTTCTAAGAAAGTTAAGTTTCTTAGAAGGAAAAAGACAAAGACACAAAGAAATAAATACTTGTAAACTGAGAACTATCAAAGGCCAGGTAGAATCATGACTATAGGTATAAAGTAATGAGATGGCTTCTCCTAAGCCACATCTGGTCATCCATCTCATTACTCTTTAGCCACACACTACGTAGGAACATGTGATGACAGGATTGGGAATTTAAGCCTGTGGCATATTCTCCAACATTTGACCTCTCTAATATAAAAGGTCCTGTCTGAGGGAGTTGTCTGCGAGTACAAAGGATGCCATCTCAATAAGCCAGGTCTCAAATTCAGAAGGTTTTCTTCCTCAACTTTCAATCAAAATTTTTTCTTTTTTTCTGGATCTCGTTTTATAAATAAGTTCTGTTATAATCACTCTTTGTATTAGTAAGTATTTACTAAGTATCTATTACATACAAATCAGAGTGCAAGGTACTATAGAAAGTTCAAAAATTAGTAAGTTACCTACCTATTCTTTTCTAGTAAAGAGTAAATGTAAAAAAAAAAAAATTGTTATAAAGTAGAACATGACACTTGAATTAAGACCTGTGGGAAGTAAGGTGGCAGGCTGTGACACTTATCAGTGAGACCTTTTCAGAACACTCCTGGTTTATTTTTTACCATGGTACTTATCCCCCATCTGACATATTATATATTTAGAGTCCATCCCCTTGACTAGAATTTCAGTTCTATACCTCTAGTGTCCTTTGCCACATCCCCAGTGCCTAGAACTGTGTCTGGCACGTGGTAAGCCCTCAATATTTGATAGAATGAATGAAATCATATGAGAAATACTAATAAGGTCCTACAGAGGGTCAAAAAAAAGACTGTTTCTACATGTGGGAATCTGGGGATGTTTCATGAGTTGGACTTTGAAAGGTAGCTCTGTTTTGAACATTCAGAGACATGTGGGAGGAGAGAGGATATTTTCAGGCAAAGAGAGAAGTGTGAGCAAAAATACTAAAGCAAGGTGAGCCAACAGCTGGGGTTCAGTTTGACAAGAGCAAAGGGTATGCGAAGAGGAGAGGAGAGAAGGTGAGAGGGATGGGGTCAGAGCAGAGAGTGCCGACCTTCAGGGCCAGGTAAAGGACTTTGGACATTATTCATCAGGAAAAGGAGAACCACTGATGTTTCTGCTGAGGTCCTGAGACATTATACAGAGGTAGAATGTGGCAACTAATCAGATGTTGGGAGTGGGGCAGTGATGAGGGAAAGAGATGAGTCAACAGTAAGTTTGTGAGTCTGAGTGCTTATTACAGATTCAGGATCCCATCAATACCTCACTCATTTCAAGTGCAACACAATTCAACTCCAGTATAATTAGGCAATTAGGATCATGGCCTGTATTTTTATATGCTCTCACATGCTTTTGTTCTGATGGATGACAATATTTTGTACTGCTTACGTTTCAGGAGACTGGGATTCAAGAAAATAGGCGATGCAGAATTGAAACAAGAAAAATAAGAAATCCGGAGCCTGTCCCTAAAGACGATATAAAGCTGTGGCCTGTGATCTGCAAATAGCTCTCAAGCGAAGACAACAATGAGTGAAGAGTCCCAGCACTCTTTTAATGGGTTATAGTTGAGAGCAATTTTTCCTTGTCCTTACGGCTAGTATCTTGAAAGTTATATAAAACAATTTAAAGAATATTGTAATGTAAAGATGAAATAATTTTTGTCTAAATAAAAAGAGCATTGCAAATACTTAAGAAGCCTCTAGTAATGGGGAGAGGGAGAGAGAAAAGCCACATTACTATCCAATGTAAAAGTCATGAACATAGTTACACGTAAGTAAAAAATTAAATAGAAGAGTAGCCTGAGAAATTCTATGATAAAAATTAAATAATTTAACAGAATAACGTGGTTGAAAAATAAATGAACATTAGTAACAAATCACTTACAGACATGTTTTTATATACCCATTTTTCCATTTCATCAACTGTTAGTGAATCTACAATAGATTGAAATTATTTTTAAAAGAGAGATCAAAGAAAAAAGTAATTATTAGATACTTCTCTACCTATATCTGGAAATTTGCCTTCTGTTGTGTCTCTTTTCTCTGAATTTAATATTTCAAGGTTTTGATTTGCAGAAAAAAATCTGGTCACTTTTAAACTAACAATTGAGAAATACAATGCACCACAGCACAAATGCACAGTGATTCAACTTTAGTCATAAGTCATGAAGTCCTTAGTCAGATGTAACTAGTTTATTGAGCAGTCTCAACTCTGCAAGCCAGAAGTGGTGTTATTTTCCTCCCATCCTGCCCCCAGCTGGGCCGTGTTGAATCTCGTTTTCCTACTGGGTAGAGATCCCTTAATGATACCCTGGACAGACCCTATAACTTCCTCGGTCACTTTTTGATATTAAAAAACTCAGTCAAGTCCAGCTGAAAATGCCAACCTCGTCCCCAAAGCAAAGTTCCCCTCCCCAATTGCTGGCTGGGCTGGTGGCTGGAAGGACCTGAAATGGGAAAGGAGCAAAGTCGGCTCCTTCTCTCTTCCTCCCCTCTCTCACCTCAGAGGTAGGGTGGTGGGAGGGAAAATGGTAGGCCTCTGGAAAACAGTCTTCTCTCCTGTTTTCTCCAGGGTGTTGGGGTAGGCAAGGGATGGATTGTCTCATCCTCTCTATATAACATTGCTGCTTCTATAAGTGAGTTCTTCAGGAAGCACTACAGGGGCCTTCACACTGCCCAGGTCACTGACCTAAGAGACCTGGATGCTCCTTGATCTCTTCCAACTGCCCTCATCTTATCTGTACTCCCCATAGCCTCTTACTGCCAGAAAGAAAGGCTCAAGCCAGTTACCTTCTCAGTGTCTGCTTGATCCACAGAGAATGCAGACATCCTTGCCATGCCAACGGCAGGACTGCAGGCTGCCCCACCACTGCCCCCCCTTTGCCTCCAACCGTCTTTGCGCTGCTTAGGAGGGGCAGGGGCAGATCAGCAAGTCTACTGCCTAAACAAACGACCAGTCAGAAATGAACTGCCAGTGCCCCCTTCATGACCCCACTCTCTGCGAGTGATTTTCTAGGAACCTCTCTTGCGTGGCTTTGGGGTGGGGGCAGCTGCTGCAGGTCCCCTCCCGGCCAACTTCTCATACACAGGTGGGAGGGGCACGGACCGAGGCAGGGGCTGGTGTGGCTCTGCCACCTCTTCATAAACCCTGAACGGGTGTCTGGCCCCCGCCATCCATGGTTTTCATTATAATGTCAGGCATTGAGCGCTTCTGTACCTACAGATTTGGTCCCCAGTCACCCATTCTGAGCAACAGAGAAAGTATCATGCAACATCCTGCTACATAAGAGAGAAAGAAAGAAAAGACCACTTGGTCCCTTAATACTATATGACATAAGGAAATTTCTTGTCATAGAACCTTCTTTACCTAAACCCTTGAAATGTATGGAAAATGTTAGGTGACTAACCAGATGTCAGCAGTCGCCTCACCTACTTGTTGTAGCCCCTCACCAGCTTCCATAAGAAATCTATTCACATGAGCAAGCTGGCGATTTCTCTGAGGATTGGGATCTTGAGGAGGAGATCACATTGCACGGCATTTCACTGAAAAACTCTCAATTAGACAAGCCTCTTCTCCCAAGTTTCTCTTTAACAGGGTCCCTCTTCTTCTGACCTCTGTTGCTCACCCCAGGGTGGCTTTACGGGCATGCAACCCACGCAGTTGAACAGGGCCCGGCACTTGGTGAAATGCTCTGTTGTCGCTGCCTTGAAATTCTTAATAATTTTGAATGAGTCTCACATTTTTATTTGCACTGGCCCCACAAATTACGTGGCCTGTCCTGTTCCCCCTAAATTCGGCCCTGCTGGCTCCTCTGCCCACACTCCCAGCATGCAATTCCTCCCCATGTTTATTAATCAGAGTAGCTTCCATTTTCCACATGAAACCCAGGAGCCAGCCTGTCATGCAGGCCTGGGAGGTCTGCTTACACCCTACAGTGGGTATCAAATATAACTGCACAACTCATGAAATGCAAATTTATTTTTGTGTCCCACTACCCCCTTTAAAATGTAAGGAATGGGGAAGGGGGTGTGCAGAAATCCTCCCTGGTCCTGGATGGGAACTTGGCCAGACGTCATGAACTTCACTGCTGCTCTTAAGTGATGCCAGACCTTTGTCCTCTCTAAGTCAAAAACACAGTCTCCTTCCATTATAATCAACATCTCAATCTGCATTCAGCCATTCATTCATTCATTCATTCATTCCCCACTGTTCCCATGTGAGGCCTGAGTTCAGGAACAGGTGTACGGTCAACTTCTGCTTCTCTTCCAGCCTTGCCTGCTTCCTCACTCTCTGGCTGCTTTGCTGGACTCCACTGGGATAGAAGAGAATTTGAGATGAGAAGCAAGGGGGAGGACAGTTCTTACCAGGCTGCACAGATTAAGTCTCAGGACCCAGAGGATGGTACCGCCCACCATTGCTGGGCCCTCTCCCTGCAACGCTTCTGTCCCCCATGATACCTTTCAATCCCCAGGCTGGCCTCAGCCCTCACCCTGGGACATGGGCACCCACATTCTCATTTCTTTCCCAGGTATCCTCTTGGGCAGGGCTCAAAATAGCTTCCACAAATCTCTCTCTCCCACAGCCTATATCTGCTCAGCCACAGCTCACTCTCTACAGCGGGTGTGATTCCAACACTCCTCCTTTGTTTTGCTGCCCCCGGACTCTCTAGCTTTTCGGCCTGGAGTTGAACACCAGTCCTTTCTCTCAACCACATGGAACACATTTCCTTATATATAGGCCCGTTGCTGGTGAAGAGTAAGGGACGCAGTAATCCCCGATCCCTGGGCATGGGTAGGAGGCATTCACAGAAAGGTAACAACACTCCCCCAAGAAATCCCTTCATAAACCCAAATCCTATCCTTTTATAGTCTCCAGGTGAGTGAGGGAATTGAGGACAAGTGGAACAACTTTCCAACCACTTCCTTCAAGAAGTCTGGAGGTGATGATATGGCTTTGGAATTTTACCATCTATAAGATTTTGGTGTTAAAACTTCACTTTTGACGTCATTTGCAACAAAGATGAATCTCTCCTTATAAGGAATGCTTGCAGCTGCTAAAAATGACATTTTCTCTGAATCAATATGCATATATGTGCATTTTTCTGAAGAAAGAGTTTGGAGTTTTGGGGTAAATTCTCAGTAGGTTTGTGATCTCATAAAATTTAAGAATCACTGCAATAGAAGATTTCTATCTTTAGAATTAAATTAATATCTAATTCAATTTATAAATGAATATTGTTATCCGATTGGCCACTTCAGTGCTGAAAACACAACACCAAAACAATCAGAATCACTCAAGTGGTTAGCCTGATGTTCCTCCAAATACTGGCTTTTTACAGTAGCATAAAATAGAAGCGAGGAGGTAATGATGCTCTTCTCCTCAGTGTGGTCTTTCAGGCATATGCCCCCAAATATCCCATTCTTTACTGATCCTCTTCTCTTCCAACATTTCCCTTCTGCAAGGAAATTCCATTTGGGTGGGTTCTAACCTAAACCTCAGCCAGCCTGTACAGGTGAGAGGAGTGCAGGGGCTTCGGGGGAAAGCTGGGGATGACACATATTATACGTCAATGATTTTCATAAAAGGTGACGTCCATGTGATCTCAGGTTCACATTTCATACATCATACCATGACAATGACCTTGAGAAATACAAAAAGGAAAAAAAATGTACTGACTCTGGGGCCAATTTCTCAGTGAGAAAAATGAAAGGTCAGTGTTCACCTAGGTGTGACCGACAAAATGAAATAGTCAAGAAAGGTGAGAGCGCTGGCCTCCACTTAGTTCATGTGTGCTTTTTCTTTCTTTTTTTTTTTTTTTCTTTTTTCCTAAAGATCTTCCTGCAAACATTATGTGACACTCTTCCTTTGGAACTTATCATATTATTTAATGAACATACCAAACTACATGCTATTCCCTAGAAACAGACACCGTCACATTTCTGTGCCCTTGTTTGTGCTAATTCCTTCAGCTCAAAGGCCACTTTTCTACCTATCAAAATCCTTCAAGACCCGGGTCAAATTTGGATGCAGCTGCATGTTACACAAAACCCAAATAACATTGTTTTAACCAAGAGAGACTTTTTTCCTCACACAAAAATGTCTGGAAGAAAGCAGTTCTGGGCTGGTGTGGGAATTCCAGTCATCAAGGATCCAGACTCCTGCCATCTTTCTGCTCCACTGTCCTAAGCACATGGCACCCACCAGGCCATCATGTCCCTGCCAGGCAGCAAAAACAAAGGGGCAAGGCAAAGGGGCACTCTTTTTCCAAAGGACTCCTTCACAGATCACCATCCAACAACTTCCTCTTTCATGTCCTTGGCCATCTCAATCTGCAAGTGAAGCTGAGAAATGTGGTTTCTCCATTGGGCACATTGCCCCAGCCACTATCACTATGGAAAAAAGAGCACGGATATTGGATGGACAATGAGATGGGTCTGCCCAGCCTCTACAAGCCAACTTCCTTGTTATACAAAATATATGACATATTTTAATATTTCTCCTTCACTAGACTTGGGTTCCTTTTTTTTAAATTGACATATAACACCGTATCAGTTTTAGGCATACCACATAATGATTTGATATATGCATATACAGTCATGTATCACTTAACAGGATTACTTCTGAGAAACGTGCTGTTAAG